AATAAAATACAGTAATTAATACTAAGCGTTCAGACACAGGTTTCCTAAATTGTATAATAAGTAAATTAAAAATGTAAATAACGAATCTAATATTACAAGAGCGCAAATAAAAATTTTATGTAATAGCAACAAACTCCTAATTAATACTAAAAAACTGTAAATTCTTTTTTTAAATAGCATTATAAAGTAGCTAGCGCTATAATTATCCTTTAACATATAAACATAATTTCATTTTAAATAATTTATTATGACTAACTTTAAATATTGCAACATAATTAGAATTATTATTTTCTAATAACACAATAAATTGCTAAAATGAACTAAGATACTTTATTGGATAAAATAGAATAATTTGTTAAAGTTATTAAATATAATCTTCAATTCTCTTATCTGCTAATACTATTATATGTATATTTGATCTTCAGGTGCTTGAAATTAACTTACTATTAAGTAATAAGGAGATATTATCAAAATTTAGATAGGTGATTACAATAATTCCAAATAGTTCACTTACATTACTTAGTTTTCATTTTTAAACGTTAGAACTTATAATCAAATGACAATTCATTTTTATAAACTTACTAATTTAAAATAGATATTTTTTTTGAAGAAATATCTTAGATCCTAATTTAAAGGGCGAAAAATTAAGAAATTTGACTAATTTAGATAAATTAAGCTATCCTTTATAGCTAAAAATTGTTTTTTATATTCTTACAATATTCTTCTTTATCATTCTTATTATATGAAAAGTTTGAAATATTGTTTTCTTTGAGTTTATTTTTACCCGATAATCATTGTTTTAACACCATGAACTCTAAATTTCTGATTTTATTTTATGATAAAAGAAGACATCTCATATATTTTTTAAAATTATTATTAAAATCTATATATATCACAGTGACAATTTTAAAAAGTTTTTAGAAAGATTTTTAAAATTTTAATTATACACAAAATGTTAACAAAGAATATTCTCCAATATCTTATTGTTTACTCTTCCTTTCATTTAGTAGGTAATTTATAGTATGTATGACATAGCTAATTCATCATGCGGATAACATTAATACTACTAATCTGGAATGATGGGTGGATGTCGAGACTGCTTTGACAATTGTGAAACATGTTCTAATTCATCAAGTTGTTAGAAATGTTTTGATGGATACTACTACACACAAGAAAAAAGCTGTGGAATATGTTCATATAAAGATGTATGCAAACCTTGCTCATCTTTTTGTACTAAATGCACTTCAGAAACTATTTGTAGTGAATGTGCAAGTGGGTATTATATAAAATCAGGATCAACTACTTGTTCAAAATGTTTTGGAGCTTGTTTAACTTGTTAGGATAGTGAAATCAATTGTACAAATTGTATTGATTCAAGTAATTAATCAATACCAACTTGTGATTGTTAATTACCAACAAAATATTTAGATACTTCAACATATTTTTGTTTAGATTGTTAATCACCTTGTATAAACTGTAGCACAGTAACATCTTGTGATTCTTGCATTTCAACTCACATATTAAATAATCATACATGTATTCCCTGTACTAAACCTTGTTATGAATGTAATACAACAATAACAACATGTGTCTCATGTATTGATAATTTACATTAATCAACACCTACTTGTTAATGTGAGAATGGATATTTTTTAAATACTTAAACATTTATGTGTGACTAATGCTAATTTCCATGTTTAACTTGTGAAACTACTGCTTCTACTTGTTTATCATGTTCACTAACTTATACATTAATTTCAAATAGTTGTTCATGTTAAATCAATGAATTTGAAGCTGATACAAATCCAAAAAGTTGTTTTGGTTGCTTAAGTCCTTGTAATACATGTTCAGGTTCATCAACAAATTGTCAATCTTGTATAACTGGATTAAATAGACATTTAAATAATTAAACTTG